GAGTTTTCATTTTCTTTTCTTTTATGCATATTTGTGTGGTATCACCCCCGTTGAACTCAGTTTGCATTACGGCCCCAACTACTGATTGATCTTGTCTGCCTAAGATCAATTCACAACGTGGGTAGGCAGACTGGAGGTCAATGCAGTTACCTTGGTAACCAGGCGTTGGAAGCGAGTTGGGAACGACGAGGCTGATATCAAATCTAACCAGATTCCCACCCGAATCACCAAAAGGTTAGAACGTCACATTTGGGTGCCGCGACCGATACCAAGCCAGTTGGTCGTCACAGGACGAGACAACACGACTGACGCGACAGGCGGACGTCACGTTTGGAACAGCGACACCCGAACGGAGCAGCGAGGAGCGAACAGCTGGCGCCGCGGCGAGGACGTCACAATTGGTGCTGTTTGGGGACGTCACAACTGGTGCCGTGGTAGATCAGGATAGAACGTCACAGTTGGCGCTGCGACCAGGGGACGACGTCACAATGAAACAGACTGTCGCCTCTAAGTGTTGACTTCTATGTTCACTTTTATATTTATATATATATATATATATGTGTGTGTGTGTGTGTGTGTGTGTGTGTGTGTGTGTGTGTGTCAGCATTTTCAACATAATCTTCTTCTTTTTCGACACGCATATCACTCTAGTGAATATTCACATACGCCCCAACTCCACACGAATATATATAAGCTTGGAATAAACGATCCTACTCGTATTTAAAACAATACAAAACAGTCAAAAGATGAGGAGAAATGAAGACCACAAAAAAAAAACCCCTTAAATGAGGTCCTTGGGACAAGGGACAATTTTTGCACTCCCTTGTTCCCGCCAAACGTAAGAAAGTTGGAAAAAAAAAATGAAATTACAAAATTTTAAATGTCTCTCATATCTAAACGGATATTTTAAATTTTATATATATATATATATATATATATATATATATATATATATTGTGTCTAGCATGAAACAGCCTGTCGCCTCTGAGTGTTGACTTCAATGTTCACTTTTATATTTATATTTTCATACGCTCTATCTCTGATACTGAGCACTTTATCCAATAAATATAGCACACCTTATAACTATATTTCTTCATATATTTATATATATATATATATATATATATATATATATATATATATTTATAGAGAGAGAGAAGCATACATCCATCCAGCTCTTATCTCAATTAACAACTTAAAAGAGACTGTTTGAGCAACACAAGGAATGTTAAAAGATTCATGTTAAAAAGATACAAAAAATTTAAAAAAAACAAATGAAAACTACAGACAAAAGTTCATTTTCTCCATCAAGACATTCATTTCTGTAGTTCACTGCTACCAGCAAGCAGAAATATTTCTTCTCCTGATGATGGCCATTTTGGCCGAATCTAGTCGAGGAATCTAAATGAAATAATAATAAAATAAACGAAAGAATATTAATCTACAACCCAGTCTGTCTGAACATTTTAATTTTTTAATATTTTTTTATTGTTCAATATAATATATATATATATATATATATATATATATATATATATATAAAAAAGAAAGAACAGTAATATATATAATCCGGTGTTCTTATAGATATTTTTATTTTTACAAAATAGTGCTCGATGTAAATTTACAGAGCATTAATATTTTAAATTAATAGATTTAAAATATGTTTTTTTCCGCTACACTGTTCTAACCATGTTTCAAAAATGGAAGCTAAAAGCCCCGAATTTAATTTTGTAATTAAATTAAAGACATTAGTCCTATTTCATCCTCAAGCGAATTTTGGAGTAACTTTTAAAATTACTGGGTTTTAAATACACAGCTAAAACAAAATTCCTGTTTCCAAGGTTAGGGATAAATCTATTTTTCTGGACAGGGGTGTCTAGGTGTTCAATATGTCTATATTTTAATGTATCAGTTATTGCTACTTTTAGTAGTGGGTAGGGATGTATGTATATATATATTTTATATATATATATATATATATATGTGTGTGTGTGTGTGTGTGTATGTATTTAAATAGATAGATAGAGAGATAGATAGAGATAGAGATAGCTAGCTAGCTAGATAATGTATATATATATATATATAGTATGACAAATTCTAGAAAATATTTCTGTGATGCGTTTCATACATAAAGATTTCATCGAACTGGACTTTGTTGATGCTGCCACATCAACACATGCTCAGGAAATGAGGGACTCTGGTAGCTTCAAAATGTTCGAAAAAAATTTTTTTTTGTTTGAATATTCTTTCGAAAATTTTGAAACTACCAGCGTCTTTCGCTTCGTGCGCCTGTGTTGACGTGGCAACATCAACAATGCTCAGTCCAATAAAATCGCAAAAGATTAAACGCGTCACATAGATATGCCAAAAAATTAATATTGCATTTTGATTAATTATTTAAATAAGTATTTGTTCCTTGAATCATTAAATTATCTTTTTAAAATAGTGGTAGTTTTTTTTATGTTAAATAATAAAACTTCAATTTTTCCAAAAAATTAATGAAAATTGAACTCACACTCTTCGGGTCCTGTTACTGGATCTAACCAACACCTTTATCCACTGTGCCATGAGTTCAATAACTGATAACGAACATCCATTAAACATGGCATGTGGAACTAGAACAGTCTACCCCAGTGAGCGAAATAAAGGGTTAAGTTCGACATTCCAACCACATGACGAAGGCCGGAGCGTTCAACGGCCGAAACGTTGTAATAAATATGGCGACAAAGATGAGCACAATAGTCCGAATAATGTAAATAATGTAATACAAACTTATACAAACGAGAGCGTTACAGCAAGAATGTTCTGTCCGACTAT